GCAGAACTTCCCCTTTTGGGTGGAACTCCGCTTTAAGGGCTTGTTTAACCACTTCACCTCTCACACTCTCACCCCCCTGTACACCACCTATGTACCAGAGCAAATGCTACATGTATGCTAAGGATATGTTTATTGGGCAAGAACTTTGACATTACTTAAGATAACAAAGTAATACATATTTATTGCTTTAAGGACAAACAAAGCTTCCATTTTGTGATTTTTTCTATTAAACAATCCTTAACCACATTTGCCTCCTCCACCTGTTCACCCCCTATGGACCAGAGCAATTTTTACATTTCTGCTATGGACCTGTTTTTTCAGCAATAACTTTGACCTTACTTTTGATAACAAAGTAATACATACAGTATATTGTCTTTTTAAGGACAACTATTGTGAATATTGTCTTGCAACACATTTTTTTTCTTAATTCTTAGACAATTAAACAAAACTAAACAAAGCACACTTTTTTTTTACCAGTGTTAGTTAAAAAACTAAATAGTGTTACTGAAGATAAATTTTATTCTGTAATTTGTCATGTTTAAAATTACAATAAAATTATGATTCTGATACAATGCATTACAAAGTTATTTACAAATGAATGAAAGTGTTTTTTTTTTAATTTGTCAGGTTGCTTTAACTGACATAATTTGCAGAATGATGTTTATCCCTTTGATCTGCAGATGAATGAAACAGAATGATACAAAAGTAACAGAATGTTACATTGTATATTTCTGTAGTGTCTGAGCAAATGTAATTTATGAACACTGTCAGACTGCTGACCTCATTGGTGGGCAATTCTGCTTTCCCGTATCAGAAATCTGCCTTTGAACAGCTTTGCCAACAGCGTCTGGGAACTCTGGCCTTGTTTCCCTACTTTATGCATCCTTGAATAGGTGCTCAAAGCGTACCTCTCTATCATATGTTGCCCAGTAGGAGTGAGACTTGCGGGTGGTCGTGGCTCTGGAGGACTGGAACAGGGCCTGGCCGTTTATAGCTAAATGTTCGTTTAATACAGCAACACTGGAGGCGGCATATAAAGTACTGTTTCGTTGGTATTGGGTCCCGGCTCAAATAGCCCAGGTGAACCCTGCTTGTATTGATCACTGCTTTCGGGGTTGTGGCCATTGTGGAGATGTTTTGCATATATGGTGGTCATGCCCGGGAGTAATTGGTTTTTGGTCTCGTGTATTTAGCCTTCTTTACACATTGTTCCATCTCTCCATACGCCGGGAGGCTCGGTATGCTTTGCTTCATTGTCCCATATGAGGCCTGCTGGCCCATCAGCAGAAGTTGGCTTCCTATTTGTTTTTATCGGCCACTAGAACAATTGCTCAGGTCTGGAAAAACCCATCTGTCCTTCAGGGGGTGCGGGACCGTATGACCACTCTGATGCTCAATGAACAGATGTCAAGCATCTGTAATGACTCCCAACGGAAATTCTTGAAAATATGGGAGCCATGGTTGACATATTCTTTACCCACACTCCTCCCAGCTAGTCTGGGTTCATGATGCTGTATGGTATTGGCGTTCCCGGATTCCCGCTTCTGGTCTTGTTTTCCTTCTTTACTCTTTTTTACTCTTTATTCATTGTTTGAATCTATGAGGTGGTAGATTCTTGGCTTTGGTTGGTATATTGTTGGTGTCATATCACTGTTTTTGTATCCTATGTGCCTTTAATGGCCACTATGTGGTCGTACCTTTTACATTGTTGATATTACAGCACTGTTCTCTTTATTTTTTATATTTCATTGATAACCCCTGCGTGGGCATGTCTTTTGCTCTGGTTTTTCTTTGCTAAATTGTTTAAAAAAGTTAATAAACATCATTGAAATACAAAGTGTATGTCAGTGCAATATACTAAAAGAGAACATATGCAGGACATCTCTGCAATAGGAGCACATTTCCCCATGTTATATCCCAGAAAAATACATGTTGATGGGCCACAAATACACCAAGCCCATAATTCTTGCAGGCTCACACAGCAATTTTACCAAGTGGTGTGAGCCCTCTCAGTTGCCTTTTGGCAAACTACCCAAACCTTCACCCATTCTATCTTCTAACACATAGTGGATAATCATACTGTAGTCCCAATATAAGAACTGGGAAGGCTGATTGGGCTCCATTAGATTACACAGGAAGTGAGCACAGGACACCAAGCTGTGCAGTGGAATAACATCCTTACAGGATGTCTTCAACTTACAAGCTGACCTCAATGCACTGTTTAATTGGGCAACTATATGGCAAATGAGGTTTAATGTTGATAAATGTAAGGTTATGCACTTGGGGGCTAAGAATATGCATGCATCATACATACTAGGGGGCGTACAACCGGAGGAATCAATGGTGGAGGATCTGGGAGTTCTGGTAGAACACAAGATTAATAATGGCATGCAATGCCAAGCTGTGGTTTCTAAAGTGAGCAAAATCCTCTTTTATTAAAAGAGGTATAGACTCCAGAGAGAGCGAGAGATATCATTACCCCTGTACAAATCATTAGTAACCTCATCTGGAATATGCAGTTCAGTTTTGGGCACAAATTCACAAAAAGAACATTGGGGAACTGGAGAAAGTACAGAGAAGGGCAACTAAACTGATAAGAGGCATGGAGGAGCTCAGCTATGAGGAAAGATTAGAGGAACTGAATGTATTCTCTCTTGAGAAGAGGAGATTAAGGGGGGATATGATCAACATGTATAAATACATAGGTGGTCCATATAGTGAACTCGGTGTAGAGCTATTCACCCTGAGGTCATCACAGAGGACAAGGGGGCACTCTTTATGTCTGGAGGAAAAGAAATTTAATCTCCAAACAAGGAAAGGTCTCTTCACAGTGAGAGCTGTGAAAATGTAGAATAGACTCCCTCAAGAGTTGGTTCTGGCCAGCTTTGTGGATTTCTTCAAAAAAGGCCTGGATCCTTTCTTAGATACATAGAATATAATTGGATACTAACATTTATAGGTAAAGTTGATCCAGGGAATATCCTATTGCCTCTCGGGGGATCAGGAAGGAATTTTTTTTCCCCGCAGGAGCAAATTGGATCATGCTTTGCTGTGTCTTTTTGCCTTCCTCTGGATCAACTGTGGGTAAAGGATTATAACTTTTTTTTTTTTTATGGTTGAACTGGATGGACTTTTGTCTTTTTTCAGCCAGACTAACTATGTAACTATGACACAGGGCTGTTCTGAATTTTTTACAAGATGTATCTGTATCTTTTTGCACTTATTGTTATTGAACAGTTATAACAAAATACTTTCAATGGAATATTTACCAGAGCAAAAGGTAGCAAAAAAGGGTAGTCAATTGTTGGGGGTTACATACACTTTAACTTACCAGATTTTTTGGGGGGGATAGAATGAAATGGAAGCACCTTGAGGAGGTACAGGAAAACACAAACACACAAAGTCCACGCAGATATGTGTCTGAATGACGACCACAATGCTGTCCAGCCTGAATACTCCCTGTGTCCAGCCTATTTAAACAGTACAGTGTGATGAAAAATAATTCCTGTAAAGGACAAAAAGAATGGCTCAGACAAATGTTCTTGTCTTGTCTGAACAGACAGCTTCATAACAAATGATATCAGCACCACTTCCCTTTTCATTGCATTTACAATCCTTCCTCATTGTTGAGTTGATTAGAGCTTTACGAGAAAGCCTGTTATAAGCTTTCCACATATCATTTTATAGCTCTGATAGCAGCTGCCAGGTGACCTCAGTCTGGGAGCATTTCGTTAAGTGGGGATTGTGGTCACCCTTAATGTGACTAATCTTTAAACCCAGGACAAAAATAACCCGCACCAAAGTATTCATAGAGCCCATCATGCCAAAATGAGTCTGATTTGTTTTTAAACTCAGTCTAGGTTTTAAGTGCAGGTCAGAGGCAGTTGATTCTTGTCCCATGTCTGGCAAATAAGTGAGTAATAAACACAACTAGCAATAGCGCCAAATAATACTGCCACAAAAATTACAGCACTGTGTGAGAAGTCTCCATTTTATTCTAGAGCAGTGGTCTCAAACTGTGGGCTAAATACGGCCCTTTGCCTGCCTCTATCCAGCCCTCGGGGTACTATTCCTCCCACTGACCCCAACAAGGAGGTACCATATCTTCCACTGGTACCAACTATGGGGCTTTTTTACTTCCACTGACACCAATGATGGGCACAATTCCTCCCACTAATATAAACACTTAGGTACTATTCCTCCAACTAATACCAAGGGTGGGGCACTATTACTCCAATTAATACCAAGGATGGGACACTATTCCTTCCTCTGATACCAATGATGGGGTACTATTCATCCCGCTGACACAAATGATGGGGCATTATTCATCCCACTTGCACCAATGATAGGGCACTATTTCTCCAACTAATACCAAGGATGGGGCACTATTCCTTCCTCTGATACCAATGATGGGGAATTATTCATCTCACTGACACCAATGATGGGGCACGATTCCTCCCTCTGACACCAATTATGGGGCACTATTCTTCCCACTAACACCAATGATGGGACACTATTCCTCCCCCTGACACCAATGATGGGGCACCATTCCTCCCACTGTCAACAATGATGTGGCACTTTTCGTCCCAGTGGCACCAATGATGGGGCACTATTCCTCCCACTAATACCAATGATGGGGTACTGCTCCTCCAACTAATACCAATGACTGGACACTATTCCTCCTATTCCCCACCTTCCACTGACTACAAGTACTATGTCATTTTGTTTTTTAATTCTATTGACGCTGGGAGATTTACTACTCCCACTGGACACTCCTGCCCTCCTAAAGTCTAAAGGATAGTAAACCGGCCCTTTGTTTACAAAGTTTGAAGACCCCTGTACTAGAGCATACTATCTACTGAGGATCCTCTGAAACTCTGGATTGACAAAATGCTGGATGAACCCTTGCTTATCATTTGAAAAAGTAGATTTAATATTAAAGTGTAACTATAGGCAAACCTTTTTTTTATTTTGGATAGAACAAGGGAGGGTTATAACCCCTGTCATCTGTGCCCCATAGCCAAAAAGGAAGTGAGAGGAAGTCCCTGCAAATTAAGGAAATTCCTTGGGGGCCCCCAGATCACCAGAACAAGTGTCCCCATATGAAGATTTCCCCTTTATTACTTTTCCGGGGACAAACCAAAATTTGGGATTTTCTTCTACTTTCATTTTCAATTATAATGGTTAACAGGATATATAAAGAGGGTTAATCTCCCTAACAGGGACACAAAAAAAAAAGTTTTACAGTCTTCAATAATAAGTTTATAAACACATAATCACAACACTTTAAACCAAAGTAGTATTAGTAAAAAATTTTTATATAAAATTGGTAATTCTAACAGAGGGGAGATAAACTGAGAAGTAAAGATTAAATTCTTACAGGCACAAGCAGGGCCGCTGATAAGGGGGTACCACCAGTCCTCCTGTATGGGGTCAGGGCACATAAGGGGGCCCAGACTGCAGGGGGACTCAGATGCAGGCAGGACAGGGAGGGGGATTGGTGGGGGGAAATTACATGAACAATGCTCTATGCGTCTCTCTGCAACAGCTGAAAGCCTGTTTCTTCCCTTCTTTCTCCCCCAATGTTTCAGCTGCTGCAAGGAGAGACACACAGAGGAATGTTCCTGTAATTGCCCCCCCCCCCCCCCCCCCCCTTCCGCTGTCCTGATACCCTTCCCTGTCCTGCTCGAATCTGATTCCCCCTGATTTGTGCCCCCTGTGTGCCCTCCCCCCACAGCACTGCAGGCTTTACTCTTCAAGCTTTACTCTACCACCACCTTATATATGAGTACACAGGAGGATATTTCAGGATGGAGAACAGGGGAATGGGCTCATAAATGTAATTTACTGGCCTCTTACTTTAGCAAATAAACACAGTCAGTGAGGTCTCACTGTGTTCATTCCTAACTGAAGCATAGTAAACTGTGCTTACTATGCTTCAGTTTATCAGTGAACAAGAGCCTCTGTCTCCTGTTCATTCATCTGCAGTGCACCTGAGACTGCAGAGAAAGGAGTTGAAGAATCTGTGTCCTTAATTCCTTTCTCTGTCTTAAAGGTGAAATGTCAGGGCTCTGTTTAGATCCATGATATTTCACCCAAGCCACTCCAACACCATTTAAAAAGATGTAAAAATATAATTTTAAAAATGGAAAAATAATTTTAAAAATGTAACAAAAATAACAACAAATTGCAAAAAATTATTTTCAAAATATTGTAAAACATTATTTTCAAAAAATTTAATTTATTTTTTAAATTTTAAAAATAATTGAACAATTAAGGGCTCGGACAAGGGTTCTCTGGTCCATGGAGTGTGAATTAGTGATTTGTTTGTGCAGATGCAGCCGCCTGTTGCTCTGAGGTTGCAGAGGCTGCAGGAACACAGCTCCTAATTTAATAGGTGTGCAGATGTAGGTAAGTGGCCCCAAATGTACACTCACTGTTTGGGGGCCATACACCTACAGCCATACACCTGTGAATTTAGGACATGTTTGTACAGCTGCTGCATCCCCATAGTATAACATAGGCTGCCTGCACACAGAATTAGCCACATAAAAAAATATATATGATTCACATTGTACAGGCCACAGCACCCATGTGAATGAGCTCCAAGACCGCATTTACACACAGAGCTTTATTTATTAACTTAATACAGTTTTATTTTTTAGATTTAGCAGGAATTATGTAAATTATGGTATGTTGTGTTTGTGTTTGCTAATCTTTATTTTAGTATATTATTAGCAAAAATATTGTTTTGATATATTTGGGGGAGGAGCGCCCTGTCAGGTAGGCCTGGTGTTGTCGGGGTGAAGTGTTGTCTAATAGTGGCCCTGGGCACAAATAATAGAAATAAAGATCCTACAGTGGCTGTTTCATTAGAGACTGCCAAGTATTTATTGTATTCAATCACACAAAACCCTCTCTAGTAATTAAGAGGGCCTGGTTAATAATCTGTGATAACACTTATAGCCTGCTAAAGTCCTAATGCACACTGGATGTTTAACTCCAGTTCACAAAATCATAGTGTTTAGGCAGGGGCATCCTAGGCAGGTGCGGGGGGTGCACGCCGCACCGGGTGACACCTTTTGCATGGGGTGACTCTGGACCCGCTCCACCAGGGACAGACTAACTGAGGCCCGGGGTCACTAGAGGGCCCCATGAGAGGCTCAGTCTGTCCCGCTTCTGAATTAAGGCAAGCATTGAGGGGATGGACAGTGAGGGAGGTACTTCGGACACCTCTCCTCTTCAGAGTTTCAGCAGAGGGCCGGTCCACATCCCTGCCATGGGTGCTGAAGTCGGAGAGCTGGAGGGGTGGGCAGAGTATGCAGCAGGTCAGTGTGTAATCCCCAACCCTGGTAACAGCACTGCAGCTTCATGTAGTAGGTAGGGGAGAGAGAGAGAGGGGAGGGGAGAAAGAAAGAGGGCAGAGAGTGAGGGGGGAGAGAAAGAGAAGGGCAGAGAGAGAGAGAGAGAGAGAGGGCAGAGAAAGAGGGCAGAGAGAGAGAGGACAGAGAAAGAGGGGGGAGAGAAAGAGGGCAGAGAGAGGGGGGGGGGAGCAGAGAGAGAGAGGGCAGAGAAAGAGGTCAGAGAGAGAGGGGGGAGAAAGAGGGCATAGAGAGAGAGGGGGGGCAGAGAAAGAGGGCAGAGAGAGAGGGGGGGAGAGAAAGAGGGCAGAGAGAGAGAAGGGGGAGAGGGCAGAGAAAGAGGGCAGAGAGAGAGGGGGGAGAGAAAGAGGGCAGAGAGAGAGAGAGAGGGGGGGGCAGAGAGAGAGAGGGGGAGAGAAAGAGGGCAGAGAGAGAGGGGGGCAGAGAGAGAGAGGGGGCAGAGAGAGAGAGAGGGCAGAGAGAGAGAGAGGGGGCAGAGAGAGAGAGGGGGCAGAGAAAGAGGGCAGAGAGAGGGGGGAGAGAAAGAGGGCAGATAGAGAGGGGGGGGAGAGAAAGAGGGCAGATAGAGAGGGGGGGGAGAGAAGAGGGCAGATAGAGAGGGGGGGGGGAGAGAAAGAGGGCAGATAGAGAGAGAGGGGGGCAGAGAGAGAGGGCAGAGAAAGAGGGCAATGAGAGAGGGTGGAGAGAAAGAGGGCAGAGAGAGAGAGGGAGAAAGAGGGCAGAGAGAGAGGGTGGAGAGAAAGAGGGCAGAGAGAGAGAGGGAGAAAGAGGGCAGAGAAAGAGGGGGGGGGAGAGAAAAAGGGCAGAGAGAGAGAGAAGGGGGGAGGGGCAGAGAGGGGGGGGGGGAGGGGGAGAAAACAGGGCAGAGAGAGAGAGAGAGGGAGAAAGAGGGCAGAGAAAGGGGGGGAGAGAAAGAGGGCAGAGAGAGAGGGGGAGAGAAAGATGGCAGAAAGAGAGAAAGAGGGAGAAAGAAGGCAGAGAAAGGGGGGAGAGAGAAAGAGGGCAGAGAGAGAGGGGGAGAATGAGTACAGAGAAAAAGAGGGCAGAGAGAGAGAGAGAGGGGGTGTCACCAAGTGTTCCGGCCTCGGGTGACACCAACCCTAGGGACGCCCTGTGTTTCGGTGCAGTTGGAAGACACAGGCGCACAGTCTAGTCCCACTGCCTGCAGCCTGTTAAATTCTATGTGGCTGGATGGAGCAGGGAGGTGTATCAAGTGGTAATAATGTTTAGGGTGGTATGCACCCAGGCAGGGCCGCTGTTGGAAATCACGGGGCCCCGTAGAGCCTAGCTGACAGGTATAGTAAGATTGAGCTCTTTATTATGTTTTTAAAAATATTTTTTATAACTTAGTAGTTTTATTTTTTACATCTTTTGAACAGCCATGTGGGGGTTGGTGAGATATCAGGAGTCAAAACAGACACCCAACCTCTCACTTTTGAGAAAGATTGAGGAGCTGCAGAGTGAATGAACAGGAAGCTTCTCTATACAGAGGCTCCATGCTCCATTCGGAAGCGTTGTAAATGCATGGAGGACTATAGGGGGATTAGATTCAGTAGGTGCACTCCTGCAGCTCTGGGCCACCCTGTTGAACTGATGGGGTCTGGGCCCCGTGCAGGAGGTTAGGTGCTACCCCCCCCCCCCCCCCCGTTCAGCAGCCCTGCACCCAGGAATGAATGCCTGGAATGCAAGCACTCTACATTCTGAGTATACATCCCTAGGTAGGGTTGCCACCTCATCCCTTTAAAACCTCACACATATTAATTACCAGGTTCTATGGCTGATTAAGGCGGTAATTAAACCCACTTAGTGCCTCATCTGCATTTACTTATCCTTGAACCTGTGTAATTAATATGTGTTTGGTTATAAAGGGATGAGGTGGCAACCCTATCCCTGGAAGCATACTGTCCTTAAATGTTAGTATTGCTTGATGTACTGTCCAGTCACAGCAGCTTTCAGCTTCTCATAGTGTTTAATGCCTGGGGCTGGACAGTGTGCCTGTGCTTTCTGATTGCACATCTCATGCACCAGGACTAAATGTTTTATTTGTAAGAAAAGCAAATACAGCTTCTTTGAATTTCACTTTCATACCAGCCACGAACACATTGGCTGATGAATGCAAGCAGGACTTTTTAGCGTGTCATTAAACCTAAAACTTTTCTGTGTGCTTTTTTACGTACAATTATATACTCTCTCTTTGTGCTGAGCCTTTCCATGGTGCATCTTTAAATTTTTGTAGATGCAAAGTTGATCCTGCCATTTCAATATACCCCCCTAATGCTCCGCCATCAGCATTTCATGTCCTTAGTCTTCCTTTTCTAGCCTCTGCAATCCGCCCCTATCATGATTACAGGCTTTCGCTCTTGTGCTAGCCTCCCCTACCATGACACAAACAATACAGAGGCTTGTGCGTGGACTCCTAGATTTTGAGTGTCAGCAGGTCCTAGAAGGGGCTGTCATTTTATCATCAGACAAAAGCAGTCAGCCACGTGCTGCACTGGGATTTTTTAATACATGTGATTCTTTGCATTTTAATTTAATTTATCATTATCAATTAAAACACTTTTATTTTTCAAATAAACCATGTGACCAAAACAGCACCAACCCGCCCTGGGCAGCCATGTCCATATGGAAGAAAAATATATTTGAAATATATTTTAAAAATATTCTTCCCAAATATATTGCCATATATTTGAAATGCTACAATTTTAGCCATATTCACCATATTTCAAAATATATTTCAATAAATATATATATATATATATATATTGAAATATATTTTGAAATATATTTTGAAAATACAAATCTACATT